ACTTTTTATAATATTTTCGAATAATTTTAAAGTTCCAATTTGTGACCTTTCTACACGACAGTGCATTTGGGGTTATTAGAATTTGCTTTTTAAGGGAATTCGAATTCACTCCACCAGATGCAACCACCTTCACAAAAGTACAAAATTTTACTGAACGGGTTTATGCTGCTCAGCTGAGTATATGCACTCAATAGAAAGTGGGAATGCGCAATGAGCTCTTGGTGGAGGATGGATACAGAAATGGTGTAGACAACACTGGCGTAATCATATGTGAAATTGCCATGTGGCGGATTTTAGTAGACTGCTAATGTGATGTGTTAAGAATGTAATAGATTTTCTGACAGGAAATGCCAAAAAGGAAAGCATACTTTTGGGCGTTGTACAGCAGAAAGTGCACAAACAAATGTAGACTTGAATAAAGTAAATGAAATGCATAATTAAAATTAAATATTTAAATAAATGCAATATTTAAATACATATAATAAATCCACGGTGGCAAGGTCATATATACGGAAGAGACATTTTAACAAGTTTAGGCTAATTTTCTTTGTTTAAAAAATGCTTACTTTTCATGTCTAAAAACATAAATCAAAATTTCAAACTTTGTAGAACCGTTATAAAAATTCGACGTATTTTAACAAATGTTCATTAAAATTTGAAACTTTTCAATCCGATGTTTTAGATTTTTTTTGAGTATGCAGTTTTGTATCCCATTAAATTTTAGTATTAAATTAACGATAACCACTTTAGTATACTAAAATTTAATGGGCTACAAAACTGCTTACTCAAAAAGCTTCTAAGAAATGTAATTAAAAAGCTCAAAATTTTGATGAAACTTTGTAGAATTTTGCTAATTTTTGTACAAAGTTTGAAATTTTGATTTACATGGTTTTTGGTAGATAATGAACTACACTTTCATAAAAAAAAAATAATAATAAACTTCATGACCTTTGTACCACGATTTGTTAAGCTGTAGAAGTTATAATACGTTTTTGATCGCTGCTGAAGTCTAGAAAAAGAAGTCAGATGAGGAGATGTGGTGATCTCCGATAGACTAGCAGCTACTTATAACCGCTACCGCTTAGACTTTGTTGCTTTTTCAATTTTTCCTAATAAACATATCGTGGTACAAAGCTCAATAACGCCATTGAAATAAACATTAAAATGCGCCACAATAAAATTGCCAAAATAATAAACGTTAAATAAACTATGCAAATGGAAATAGTCATAGAATGCTGAAATGTCTCTTCCCTATATACTATATTTTTGCCAACTGTGTGTATTTCACTTTATATATGGTACATATGTATGTACATAAATTGAAATTAATAAATAAATAAAACAAAACAAAATAGACAAAAATGAATTAAATGAAAAATAAAATTGAACAGAAAATTAAATAACACATACAAAACAAATGAAATATTACAAAATTAAGTAAAATGTAGTCCCTTTTTGAAAGTATTCAGTCTTGTACGAATTAAATGGCATAACTATTTTTCTAAAAAAATCCCTTGCATTTGGCTGGAATAAAAAATTTACCCATAGAAATGAAATAAATTATACATACCATTTTCACCGTGGCGTCAATTTATTTTACGCAACCATCTCCGAGTTCGATTAAGAAGTTTCAATCCAGTAAAAGTTTTATTTCGAAGTTGAGCGGCAAATGCTTTTTATGAGAAGTTTTTTCGTGACAAAAATATACTCGAAGAATTCTATCGTCATGTTAACTGTTAACAAAATGTTTCTATAAATTTTTCGATGTTAAATTTCTAGTGCTGGAGAAAAATTTGAAACCCCAAAGTAATGAACGAACGGTGCTTCAATAGTATGCTAAGCAGTGCTTCATTTACTAAAACTCGCAATACCATATCGTCGTTTAAAGTAAAAAACCGCGTATCAAGAAAATAGAAACCCTCGTATGTTCTCTCTTTTTATCTTTTTATCTCTTCTCGTTATGCCTAAGTATCGATATTTAAGTATAAATGGATAAGGGCTTGATGCCAGGATCTTCCGGTGAGCAAATATCTTTTTTGACACAACTGTTAGTTACCAGGTTTTTCAGAATTTAATTAAATTTTACAAAAAAGAAAGGGGTTCGAACCCCCCTATACCCCGTGTTCCCGGCCTGCCATACATATATAGATAAATTATTAAGTTTAATAACGTATGATGTATTTACATACTATGCATAGTATACTTTGAATATATGTATACAGGATGTCCTAAACCATCAGTCAACCGCTACTAAAATGGCGAGCAATGTTGTTTTATTGGAAACCGCAAAAATGTTCGCCTATTAAATCGGGAACGTTCTATCTTTTGGTGGTATTACCGACTTTCGGCTTATACCGATAACAATTATTAGACAGGAAGTGGGTGAAACAGACCGGAAGTAAATTTTTTCAACTTAGATATAAATGTTTTTTTACTACAGATTCGGATTCTAAGGGTAAAAATATGTAGCTTTTGTTTGCAACTTTTTTCTCGGAAGCGCCCCTTTCAACCTCTAAATGACCTTCGAACTTTAACTCGTCCTGTACTTCTTAATTGAGTAAAAATTGATTGATTGGAAAAAGAAAAAAAATTTAATTAACGAGTCGAGGATACTTTATCTTTTGGTGGTATTACCGAATTCCCGTTTCGACGGAAGTGGTTTGAACTGCCCCGAAGTGAATTTTTTTTTATGGGATATACAGTGTGACCAGTATATGCTCATACAAAACTTGTCAATAAAATATATTTAAAAAAAACTGGATACATTTTTATTTTAAATAACGTATGAAAATATTACTTAAACGATGACATAGTAAATATTTGTTATATCGGGGGGTTAGATCTCTTTATATCGTTATAGCAAACATTGATTCTAAAATTGTAAAAAAATAATAATTTATTCCCAAGGACGAATGGCCTCCGAGCTCACCTGTCTGTAATCCCCGGACTTTTGTATTTGGGGTTATATGCTGCAGAAATCTAAATCAAATCTTTATATCCCAAATTATAATTGGTAACTGTTTCAACTTTTCCAAATATAGCTTTGATTAATAAAAACTACTTTGTTTTTGTATGAACATATACTAGTCACAATACATATTTTTACCACAGATTCGGCTTATGCGCATTAGGAATGTTCGATATTTAAGAAAGAATCGATATCATTAATCGATTTAATTCATTGCATGTAAAATCGATATGGCCATATATCGGGCTGCACAATATCGATATCGGAAAAATCGATGTTGAAAATCCTACTCCCAATTGAATAGAATATTAGACCTGCCTACCAACTCATCTAATTGTGTTACTGAGGATGAAAACGGCATGCCGGTCGATTCAAGCGGTTTGTCAAACTTAAAAGTTAAATAAATCACACAGGCTGCCGATTAAACCAACTTTAGTATTTTCGCATACACTTTTTTTGTAGATGAAAAATAAATTTAAACTTAAATATCGATATTGCGGGTAAAGTATCGATGTCTTCGATATATCGACCTTGGAATATCGATTAAAAAAATCGATTATCGTGCCATAAAATATCGATATTCAGAATAATCGATACGATATCGAACATTCCTAATGCGCATACAAATCAGTGATCGGACTTCAAAAAATTAATAGTGGGTTCTCAAAAACCGCGTAAATCCGACTTTAAAACTTTATACAAATAAAAAAAAAGTCAACAAAGAGGTGCGCCGAATAAGTTAATAATATTTTTAGGAAAATTTCGAATATGAAGCTCATTCAATTTTAGTTTAATAAAGTGCAAGCTTCAAGTGTTGATTTAGAGATTTCTTTTGTTGACGGTGCTACGCATTTTCATTAGGATAGCGCACTACCTTGTTGACGTTTTTTAATTTTTTATAAAATTTGAAAATCGGATTAACATAGTTTTTGTTGTATAATATGCAATATCATTATAAAAAATCAATGAATATTAAATAAACAAAAGGGATACTGTAAATACTAAAGATTAAAAGAGTGCGCTATTCAAATGACAAGGAGTGTATTTCATATTTAAACAAATCAACGCACATACATATGTACATACATAGTAAGTATTAACATTTTTTCTTTCTAAACTTCGGTCACTAAATAATTTTTCTATTCAAATGCTTAAAATATTAAACTTGAAAGAAGGAAGGGGGCAGGTGTAAGAAAAGTGGTTAAGGGAAAAATTTTAGCTTTCTGAGAGTATTTTTGAATTCAAGAACCATTAATTATATATTGAGGTTATTACTTTGAGGTTAAATATTTTCCGAGCAATAAATGCGGTAGAAAGATCTATAAATACATACATACATACACCTAAACATACGTACAATGCTAGCCTTCCACGTTTTTCAAAATCATTACTCTGGACGTATGTTGGACGTATTTTGTTGGTCACATTTCGCAGTCAAAAGTTTTTTTTTTCGTTCTTTTAAATCGATCGTCAAAACGCACGCTACAAAAACAACAAGACCAGTGCCGCGTCCTTCAATGGGAGATACAAATAATACATTTTCGTTTTTCAAACTTTTGTTTATACACACATATGCACATATGTATGTAATGTATGTGTGGAGTATAGATTTTCCAAATCACTTTCTACTCATTTTGTTTTTCCAAATTATTTGAACGAGTGGGGTTGGTGGTGCCTCTACTTTGCAACTCACCAGCAGCGGTGATACTCTCAACGCACACTCAGAGTGCTCCCATTCTCCCATGGCAACGAGGAAGCTTTTCCGAATGTGTCGACGACCACCGACTGCCAGTTTTTCACCAATGCGGCTGTTTTGAAAAACACACAAGTACTGTCGGAAAAGCAAAAAAAAAAACACAAAGTAAAACCAAAAAACCGATTTTCCGACGTGCTTTGGCTTAGTTGTTTTTGTTTCTTCGGCGATTTGTACGCACACACTACCAAAATGCGATACCGATCATGGCATTCGAAGCAAAATTCACCAAAATCCGACGAAACATTTTTCAGTTGCGAGCGGACCTCTGCACGGAGTGGAACTAAAAAATCTAAAAAAATAATAAGAAATAACCAGTCCGCGGAAAACGTTGAAGTTCATCTACATAATTTTCCTACTACATAAAGCATATATATATATATATGTATATATAAATAATTTGTACCAAAAATATACTAGAAAAGAGCAAAAAAAATAATATATACACCTAAAAATATAAATATAAATATCGAGAAATATATATATATAGAGATAAATACGTGAAAGAAGCGAAAATTACTTTGGAACGTTTAAAAAATGGCTAAAAATTTTGCTTAATAAAATTTTAATTAATTTAACTCGAATTCTAAATTGAAAAGTTGTGTTTTTTTGAGCAGAAAATATTCATTTTTCAAATGAAATTTTTGAATTGAAAGCAATTGAAATAATTTCTAAATTAAATCTAATCAAATTACAACAACTAAAAAGTGACCAGAGCAACAACTACTTGAGCAACGGCACCAATTATTTAATCGTTTTATTTTTTTCTCTTCTTTCTGGTTTTAGTTCAAATTTTGCACAGATGAAATTTTTAGTTTTTTAAGATAAATGAAAAGCATTGAAAAGCCAAAAAATCTCCGCATTGTGGAAAAATTTTGCAACGAAAAAGTCACAGCTGCATATTATTGAAAGGAAATTTCGAAAGAAAAAAATTTTAAATCGTTGAAAAGTTGAGTCGAATCGGAAACGGAGCGTAACGCTGTGAGGGCGATCTGCGGATCGGATCGCTTTGGGATCGGAGTGAATTAGAGTGTTGGTGGTGTGGAGTGTGTGTGCGTGCGTGTGTAGCGGTGGAGTAGATTCGAACCAAATCGTCGTAACGTAACGTAACGAAACGGTGGCACGCACATATCTCAACCTACTACGGAACGGAAACGGAAACGGATTCTGAACGGAAAGTACGACGGAGTCACAACAACGACAACGAGTACGCAACGAATTTTAGAAGTATGACTTTTTCGCGGAAAAAAGTGCTAACGTTATGCGTGTGCACACTATTGGCGCTCATCAGTTTTCCCGGATATGTTGATTGTGCTAATAAAAAGGGATCACAGGCTGCCGCAGCAGCGCCACCGCCAGCACCCATCGAGCCCGAGGCCGTCATCGAGGAGGTCAATGCCAAGCAATTGGAGAAACTATTGACCGATAAGGATTATGTTGCTGTCTTTTGGTGTAAGTATTGCCGTACGAAATATTTGCATAGGTGGGAAATTTTTGGTAAGGTAAGGTTTATGGGGTATGCATGTACATACATACATATGCAGCGAACCAACGAGTAGCGAGCTAAAAACACCAGGCTAACAGCCAACAGCCAACAGCAGCGGCAGCAGCTAGCCACGAAAAAATTGAGTTAAAAAAATTAAAAAAAACAAAAGGAAAAAACGTATGATTACAAAAAAAAAAAAGAACGGCAAAAAGCGAAAGAGGACCTACCAGAAACTCACCCACAGCGCTAGAAACCGAAATAAACTGCTACAAAAACAACGCAGCTGAGCTAAATAAAAATTATGCAAAGTGTAGTAAAGTGAACTGAACTGAATTAAATTCAAATGAAATGATCAGCACTGGGCAGTACTGAAAACCGAAATAGTGTCGAGCATTCCAATTCAGTAACGCTATGTGTGTATTATATAAAAACGACTCAAAAAAAAGTCACAAAATTTAGACAAGAAAAAATTGCAAAAAATATATAGCAAGCACAACAACAATGCGTACAGCAATGTGGAACAAGTAATACAAAATAAAAAATAAAACGAAAGATGAAAAACCAAAACTAAAAAAAAAACGTCCAAGTAAAAGGCATACATATAAAAATTCTAAAATTCTCACACAAAAACATCTAAGGCAAAAATCTAAAAAATTCTGTGCTCGAAAATTTCTGAAATTGTTTCGCTGTGTTAAAAATTGTGTGCAAGTGTTGGTGATTATCGAAAAAAAAGTTCCTGTGCTGCTATTAGCTGTTGCTAGCTGTTGTTGGCTTGCGGTTTTGTTGCTGCTTTCTCGCTGTTGAACTGTGGTGGATTATGTGACATTCGCTTTGTCAGCTGGCAGCAGTGATGTCAACCCGCGAGAATTTCCCGATTTTAGTGGAATTTGAATTTCAATATACAAACAATTTTCATTAGAGCATTCCTGTTGCGGATAAAGTTGCATTTATGAATTACAACTTGTGATAACAATCTCTCATTTTATTATTATGGGTTTGAATCATTATGTAATTTGGTTCATGCAACCATGTGGATATTAAAGAAGTTGCAACCGTGCAGAGCGAAATGTTTCGATTTTTTTCACGTTTTCGTTTGACTCTCTCTTTCCTCGTTTCGTTTTCGCCACCAAGACATCGCATTAGTTTTTATATGTTGCGAGCTTCATTTTGGGGGCACTTCATTGAAAATAGGGGATTTTTTTCAGAAATTTCGGGTTACTAGCCCCAAGAGAGTTGGCATCCCCGGCTGGCAGTAAATTTCTATGCATGTGAATGTATGCACCTTACACACATTCATACATACATACGGTTGTTTGTATAGGTGCGTTTCGTCAAAAAGAGACAGCTGTGCCTAGCGCACCTGTGAAATTCACCTTGCTTCAAGTGTTCTAACCAGCGTTCGGACTTCGCTCCGATCGTAGTAGATTTACTCGGCTTTGGAGAAATTTTGAAGCCACTCCGCTTGCCTTAAAATCTACTCCGATTTTTTTACATTTAAGTGCTGGTAAAATTGTCGACTAAATGGGTTTTACTTTATTGGCTCCTGTACAACTCTAAACTTTTAAGATGATGGAATTCTTACTAAACACCATTAATTTTATGGAACCCCACATCAAATTACTAGAAATCAAGGGCATTGCAATTTATATATGAATAAAAACTTTTACAAGAAATAGTATACATACTTTAAATTTTAATATAAAGAATAAAATCATTTCACTGTTATTAAGTATTGTATAAACAAGTAATTTTTAAGCAAAAAACAAGAACGACTTCAGTTCTCATATAAAAATTTAAGATTATCGTCAATTTCTTCATGATCCGATGATCAGATTTAAACCAAACCTGTAAGGTAACACCTTTATAATTAAAATAATTATAGAAATCGGCTAACGTGGTCCGAAGTTATGCTGTAGCATACTTAAAAAAAAATACAAAATAAATATTCCGACGAATTGGTAACCTTTCTCTTTTTTGTGAAGTCGGTTAAATAGTAGTTCGATATTATGTCTGAAAAGTGTATGCGCTTTTCTGGGGTAGCATCTAATTTTGACCTGAATTTGTTTTTTGTATAAATAAGTGTAAGCTGAAAACCCTGTAGACAGTGTATGTTAATATGGCCTTTTTAGCGACTTCATGATACAGATTCAAATGTGTGTTTCAATTTCGAAGTACTCTGAAGATCTGTGAATGCTTTGTAAATGGATTTTGTACCAAACCTATATGTCTACTACCATCCGAAAAATAATCGGACATTTCACATTTCATTTGGCAATTCATCGCGTTCCTTGTAGAAATTTGTATATATATAACCCTTTGGTTACAGCGGCCAATAACACATACCAGTTAGAAAAAATAGCAAGCTGTCAAGCGCCAGTCTGTCAAGCAGTTTATAGAACTTTTCATTATGTGTGCAACTCAAACCGACCGCCGTGCTTTTTCATACCAAAATTAATTTCGCGGTAACCCGGTGAACCACTTTAAGAAGCTCTGCTCTACAAAACATTTCCATTCCTTAGCTACAGATTTTGAATTTTAAAGAATATCTCAAATAATAAACAGACGGCGGCGTTGGTCCGGATTAACTTGTTAATTTGGAATTATTTCTGGAATTATATAATACAAATCAATGGAATTTTCGATGACAACACTGATCAAAACGGCTAAAAATTAACATTGCGTTGTTTGTTTGCGAGTGGTCAGAACTAGGAACTACACCTCATCAACACCCAGGTTTGAACCCCACACCGAGCGTTTCTTAAAACTATTTTTTTTTTAAATAAATATTATTTAATTATCTAATCTTGTTTTTTTATTACAAATAATTATTTCAAGTTAACCTAATTTTTATACCCGAGCGCACTTGTAAACAAGGGTATTATAACTTTGTTCACATAACGGTTGTTTGTAACAGGCAAAACGAATCGAGATAGATATAGACAAATGTATACATAAATGATCAGAATGAAAAGAGAAATCGATTAAGCGGTGACTGTCTGTCCGTCCGTCCGTCCGTCCGTCCGTCTGTGCACACGATAACTCGAGTAAAAATTGAGATATCTTAAAGAAACTTGGTACATGCACTTCTTTTGGGCGTAGGACGGATGGTATTGAAAATGGGCGAAGTGGGACCGTAACCACGCCTACCTCCCATATAACGGTAATTTTCAGAAATACAAAAACTGCGATAGTTTAGTAACTACTGAAGATAATTCACTCAAAATTGACATTTATTTATTTAAATCTTAGACGAAAAATAAGAATATTAAAAATTTTTGGAAAATGGGCGTAGCCACGCCCACTTATAGTTACATGTGTATATCTTGGTAACCGCTGCACCGATTTCTTCCAAACTGGGCACAGTTGTTGACCCTGGCACAGCATACCAAATGGCCGAAAAATTTCAAAATCGGAAAATAACCACGCCCACATCCCATATAACGGTAATTTCGAGAAATACGAAATCCTCGATAAATCAGTAAATATTAAGCTAATTTATTTAAAATTGATGGTTGCAACAATTCTTTACCAGGAAATACGTTTATGATAAAATTTTGGAAAATGGGCGTGGCACCGCCCACTTATGATCACATCTATGTATCTCGTTAACCGTTCTAGAAATTTGTACCAAACTCGGTATGGTTATTGTGCTTGCCACATAAAAGCTAACCGTTGAAAATTGTTGAAATCGGACTAAAATTACGGCCGCTTTTCATAACTATAAGGGTAAATTTCAGAAATGCTTTAAATTTCAATATTTCGAAATTTAAGGATGCTAGTTTACTTAAAATTTATACACACTCTTATCATGTAGCGGTAGCTTTCGGAAAGGTGGAAAACATATATTTAATATTTATATTTATATTTTAAAAAAATATGTCAAAAATGTTTGCATGGCGAGGGACTCCATTCTACGAACTCGCAGTTCGCTTAATACGCAATACTGCCGTCTGTCAGGGTACAATTTTGATCGGATTAACTGCGTTGTTAATGCGGATCAACGTAGCCATCTGTCTGTGCTTTAAGTCACGATCTTTTGAATTTCTGATAAATGTAAGCCGTTTGTTATGCTCCCATATTCCACTTATATCGCTGATAATAGATGGTGCGACAGCAAAAAGAAGGTTTTCAAAAATATGCGGGAAGTGATGCTAATTTTCATCGAGTAAAAAAAGAAGCGAAATATGGAATTTGGCAAACACCCCCAAAAACTAGACTTACGCTTAAAACACCATTTTTTGCAGCCTATAACTAAGTCCAATGTTTAGTGTCACACCCGTTTAGGAAAGAAGAAACCTGGACCTTTCGAAAGATGTATGTGTCAATGTCTGATTAACCGTCATCAGTTTTCAGCCATTTTGTAGTGTCAAAAAGTCTAATACAGAAACAAACATCCAATTGGTAAATATCGGGCACTGCAAATAGTCTTTAGGCTTCAGTTCCTGTGTCAGTTGATTTTTTTAGGCATTTAAACATATGTAGGTCTTTTGTTAAAATGTGCTGAACGGTGCTGCAGGAGAGGTTCAATTTCTGTGAACGACGAGGAATAGAGTTTGTCGCGGCCTAGTCGTCGCTTTTTACCACAGCATATGTGTATACATATTATTATTTTTTATTATTTGGTTTTGGTTATTTTTTTTTATAAAAATATACTTCATTATTTGACCAAACCCGTATAAATCCATGTTTCAAATTATGTGCAATATTAAAAAAAAAAAAATTTAACAACTTTGCGTAAAATTTTCGATCGTTTTTAATTAGATTTTCAAGAAAGATTCGGAGTATGCAGTATGTAGCCAATTGATTTTTGTAGAACCAAGTGCAAGTTTCAAATGGCTAAAAATTACCGTTAGTTTTTTAGATTTTTTTTGTTCCATTTGCTTCCATATTACGAATAAACACAGTGTATTTTTGGAGAAGACCGTAATATTTTTGACAAAAAAAAAGTTTTTTAAACCAACAGTAA